AACTGGGCAATAGATACCTTCTATCAATAATAAAACTTTTGTAATCTCCACCTGATGTTCATTTCTACTCTTCTAATAACAGAAATGTCTGACACTACACAAGGGCCCTTGCTAGTAGATGCTGGGTTCAGAACCATGTGACCAAAGGAAGAAAGGGAAGGAGCTCCAATAAGGACCCCAACAAGTGAGATCAGGACTAGCTTGGTGACTGATAAAAGGGTTTATACCAACTCATGTCTGTCCATGCTTAGAGAAGAACCAAGGGGCCAAGGCAAGACTAGTAGTTAAATGATGGCAACAATACTGCCTTTCAGTCTAGACATCTTGGTGGATATGAAAAGTACCTAAAGGGTCAAGGCTGAAAGACAAGATCAAAGAGAGGTCCCTCACCCCTCCTAATCAACCTTACTTCCCTTCCACTCCGTAAGTCCAAACCTTCTAAACTATGGGGCAGAGTTGGGGTAGAAGGTTGATGATTAAACAAGCCTATTACCTGTTTAGAACAACAGTAGAAACTTTCAGTACAGGTAAATAAATATGACAGACATGTATAATACTGTATAAGGATTGTAATCAGAATTCACAAACCCTGGGAAACCATCAGACACCATTTCTCCCTAAGTGTCAGTTTTTCAACCTAATATTAGATTGTGAGTATGAAGGGAAAAATACTCTAAATTAAGTGAATTGGTGCAGAATAACTAAGAGATATTTGGGAAACAGTAAATAATAAAGTGAGTATTTTTCTGAAAATTTGTTAATTAAAAAATTCAAATAAAGTTTAAGTAGAATATTCTCACTTTTTGGCTGGGGCTGTTTTCTGCAAATTCCACATTTTTAATGTGTGATCCTCTGATGCTGTTATCAAAACAGGCTCAATGGGGTGGAAAGCAAGGGCTCGAATGCCATCAAAGTGACTTCTTAGTGTAAACTTAGGGTTCCACGTCTTCCTCAATGCATCTTTATTGTTTGCTATCTATTAGAGAAACAAAAGAGATTCCTGTACATTTAGTTCAGGATAGGGGAAAAAAACTATATTTCAACCTTAATTCTTATGGATTTGTCATTAAACTATCACATTTTGCAACTTTCAAAACAATATAATTTTTTAATGTAAATAACCAAATCAAAAGGCAAAATTAGCAATATGTCAACAGTGGTTTTCTTTGAAGAAATATGAACACTATAATAAAAAAACAAGTAACAATTCAATATTGAAAAAAGATCAAATATTTTAATAACATCAAATGGATCTTTAAAACTAGGATGATAAAAAAGACAAGTAATTTCAACCTAAATTATAGTATGGAAACTGATTTGGGGTAAGAGCTGAAAAACTAAGTTATCTTTAAACATGTTAACATTATAGAATATGATACTTTTGAAATTTTCAATACTTTTTAACAAGAGCTAATTTTTTTAAGTCAAATTGGTAAAGTTTATAGACTGAAAAAATAAAAATGTTAAAATTAGAAGAGATAATCAGATTATTACAAAAACACACACATTGTTATGTCGCTTTTTTCCCACAGAAACTCCATTTCAACAACTGAAAAAAAAAAGCATTATTTTTTCATTCCAAGTAACAGGAAAGCTAAAGAGGTTGGTGTTTGACTTTTTACTAGCACTATGTATGAACTCTTCACACCCCAAGGCTGATTAATAATCATGCTGGGTTTAAGCAAGAGTGGGGCAAGTATTGGAAACACACTGGAGAAATGTTACATTAAAATTCCAATGACAAAACCCAACGAGATAATACCAACAATAGCTGTTACTGTGAGACGTTATTTTGAACATTATTCAAAAGACTTAACATGCATTAACTCACTTAATCCTCACAACAACTCTATGAAGTAGTAATTAACATTATCCCTAATTAAGACTAGACAGTAAGGAAAAGAGAAGTTAAGTGACTTGCCCTCTAGTAAGTGGAGGAGTCTGGATTCAAACCCAGGCAGTCTGGCTTCAGAGGCTACACTCAATATAAACTATAATTTAGAACCCAGAAGTTTTAAAACCTGCAGAAAAATTTGGATAGGACACGTCACAATTGGGACAATAAGAGAAAACAAAACAAACTATGCAAAGGACTATTGGTAAGAATTAAGGCTAGTAATCCTTGGGGGGCGGTGTTAGGAAGTTGGGGAAAACAAATGAGTTGACTGCTGTCTGCTCTTGTTAAGATGAAAGGTTTTCACATGTAAGAACAATCAGATTCCTACTGAATGTCTTAATGTGGTAAGCAGCCACTAAGAATGTCCCTAAACAGGCCTACCTCCTCGTTACACCTTGTGTAGCCCCTGTCCACATTACTGGTCTATGTGACCAATAGCATACAGCAGAATGATGACCAATTACTTCCAAATTTAGGTTATAAAACCTTCCGTCTTGAGTGTTCTTGCTCCCTCTTTCCAAGGACACTCATACTGTGGGGAGCCAGCTGCCCTCTGATGAGCCCACAGAGAGGCCAATGTGGTGAGGAACTAGTGTTCAGCCAATAGCCAGCAAGGAACCAAGGCCTTCCAACCACCACGAGTGAGCTTGGAAGTAGATCTTCTCCAAGTCAAGTCTTCATATAAGACTGCAGCCCTTGACAATGTCTTGACTGAAATTACTTGAGCAACCAGAACTATATAGTTAAGCTTTCCCCAGACTGCTGACCCAAAGAAGCTATGTGATGAAAAATGTTTGTTGTTTTAAGCTGTTAAGTTTGGTGCAATTTGTTATACAGCAATAGATTAATAAAGCATTTAATAAAATTTGGAACTACTTTTAGAAACAGAGAGACAGACATAACACTAAGTTTTCTAATAATTAAGAACTATGAAAAAAGGATGAACTCTCTCTGGAGAGAGGAGTGAGACAAATTCTTTGTGGTGGTAGAGTTAAGGCAAAATCTACTTCAGACCTTGCTGGACTAGATCATTAGAACCAACTCTGTACTGAGGACAAACAGAAAAGCAAATATAAAAATAAAAAATGGAGAACCAACAAAATAGTGAAGAAAAACCAGGCCTGGATCTAGGGGAAAGCAGGGGCCTAAGAAGGTGAGCCTGATATTCAGTTATTTTTCCCTAGACAGTGTTTATTGATTCCAGAGGGGATGGTTGAGAGGTGGATCTGTGCTTTTGACAGCTCTGCAGTGCAGGGGGATACAAATTGGTGTCCAGGACCTGTCAAGAAATACTTTGCTTTGGGTTTTGATTCCAAAGGGCAGCATCCTAGACGTAAGAGTAAACTGGAAGAACAAGTCCTTGCAGGGATGGCAAGTCAGCTTTAGAGCATCTCAAAAACTGAAAACGGAGTGAGGTGATATAGAGTTCTAGTGGCTGCAGACATCTGAGAGAAGTAAATTAAAATATACTCCCTGGAGGCAGATATCATCCTAGGCCTGAAGTTATTCCTACAAACAATTTTTCAAATGATAAATTTTTCAAATTATTTGGACATAATAAAAAGTAACTGGGCTCATACAAAATACAACACAAATGAAAAAAAGCAGAAACAACACATAATAGTAACAGAACTACAGAGTCTCTGATTCAAACTTTAATCATGCTTCCTATGTTCAAAAAGATAAAAGACAAAATTGAAAAATTTGGAAGAAATCTGTAAACAATGAAAAATTCTAGAAGCAAAAACTGTGAGATCTCAATATGGGTTTAATTACAAATTACACATAACTGAAGAGAGAATTAATAAACTGGAAAATGAGTCATAAAAACATCTAGATTGAAGTATAGAAAAACAAGAGCAGAAAGTAAAGAAAAAGGGAATAGGAAACAGAGAAAAAAAAAAAAGATCTAAAAAAATAACTAAAGTTCCAGAAGGACAAGTGAGAGTAGTGCAAAAGCAGTGTTTTAAGGGAAATGGCTGAGAACTTTACAAAATTGATGAAAACATTAAACCAAGAAGGTCTAAGAATGTCAAGAAAGTTAAATAAAAATAAAACTAAACCTTGGCTAACAATCAAGACGTAGGAAAATATCAGTCAGAGAAAAAAAAATCAGACTACCATTGAATGACCAACAACAGAAACAACAGTTGACTTTAGTAGAAAACAACAAAAAAAGACAATGCAATAATATATTTAGAGTGCTAAAAAAAAAAAAAGAAGAAAAACCTTGGCAACTGGAATTCAATACCAGAGATAAGTTAAACCACTCAGGAGAAATAAAGAGAATTTAAGAAACCACAAACTGAGAGAATTGGGCACCAGTAGATAGATTTTCACTAAAGAGAAGTAAGAAGTATTCTTAGAATAAAAGCAAAGTGATCCCAGATGTACAGTCAGACAGGCAGGGGAACAAAAAAAAGCAAAATGGATATGTAAATGGATAATCTTAACTGATTATTGCATGTAAAAAACAGTAACTTAGAGGTAGATTTATAGAGAAAAAGATAACAAGAATGACATGATGGAGGGTGTGAGTTTTAAAAATACGGTTAAGTTGGTCCGAAGGTTGTGGTTTATTGTTAAGCTGATTAAAAATACAGTTAAAAGTGTTCTAAAGGATGTATGTGGTAATCTCTAGGGTACCGATTAAAAGAGTAAAGAAAAGTATGTAGACTCTATATAGTGGAAGAGGAATGAATAAAAAATATTCAATCCCAATAGAGGCAAAAATAGGAGAAAAAAAGAATACAGAACAAGTGGCACAAACAGATGGCAGACTTAAACCCAAAGACATCAGTAAATGCTCTGATTTAAGTTTGTCAAAGGTTAAATGAAAAAAAGAAAGTCAACTAAATGGTGTTTTTAAAAGATAGATATAAATATAAGGATACAAAAACAATGGAAACAGAAATGATTTTTTAAAATCTGTATCACAAATGTGAAGCATAGAGTGCAAGAAGCCCATTCAGAATAGATTATATAGTAGTTCCAGATGAAGAAAAAATGGACAAGGATGGAAGGTAAAAAGCATATGGATTTCAGCTGTTTTTAGAAGAACCCGAAACACGTATGCATGTTAGCACAGAGACTGAGAGTTTTTGATGTGCAGGAAGAGGAGTGGGTGGTGAGGGCTTCTCCTTGGAGTACCTTCTTATCATATCCATGGTTTGCTAAGGCATCCATCCTACATCCCCCAGGTGGCAGGAGCCATACACTATATTCCCACACAAATATAATGAAGTACCAAAGTGAGAGGATTTTCAATGAAGAGATAAGACAGGTTGTAAATACTTTATGAATGAGCAACTGATTTTCTGACAATCTATTATGATGAACAAATTATAAATACATTTATAAAACAACTGTGTTTGAGATGCATAAAGGTATAAAGATTTCAATTTTGGTCCAACTTACCGATGGGTTAGCCGTAATATCTAGAAAGCACCCCGTATACATCCCTGCCTAACAACAGCTAAAATCCCTTCTGGGCAGTATGCACTGATGGTGCACTAAAGCAGCAAGACAAACAATGCTGTTAGGCAGGCAGAAATTTCAATTAATCACTCATGTCCTAAAACATAAAACAAACCCAAACTCCATGGAAAAGGGAATTCTTTACCTAAAACCAATAAACAAGCTAAACTGAATTACAGATTTAGGTAAAGCCCATAATTTTAATCTCCATATGATGTGAAAAACATTGTTTATCTTTATAATATGTTCATGTTTTCAAAGTCTGTGATTAAAAATGAACCAAATTCTATCCTTGTAAAGAAGTTTTGCTTCTTTATTGACATCTTTTTCTATAAAATTAACTTTTTGTTTTTAAAAAACGAGTAATGTAAAACAACAAAAATGAAACTACTACTCACATCGTAAGTGAGTGAATCTGCTTCATTGGCCACTGTAAGGCCTGCCAACTCTCCAAGTCCCAGTTCACTTTCGAGGGCTTCATCTGTTCCCATGATGAATGACTTCCCAGAAGATGGAGGAAATGTCAGTGCTTCCACTGAAAGAAGACAAAAGAAACACAAAAACCTCTCAAGAGTCAACAATTAATCTCAGAAGGGCAGATCTACATTTGATTATTTTTAAATGCTTTTAAACATGATAAAATTCAGTGAGCAGAAAATCCTAAAGAACTGGTTGCTTTTTCCATATCTTAACCATAGCTAAAAGTATCATCTAATTAGAAAAGTAAAACATGAAACAAATCCAATAGTCCACTGTCCTTTCTTTTTCACTGCAGTAAAATAATGTGACTAAATAAAAGAAGGTTTTCCTCACTTAATATTTCATTCTAATTACCCAAGTAATTTCTATTGATTATCAGACATATATATCAAGTGATTCTGAACACCGCTGGTCTCATTCAAACAAAACTGTTAATTTTATAAGCTGGAATACAGAAAATTTCAAATAAAAATGATTATGATTATAAAATGTGTCTGTATGAGACAAAATATGTGGCATTAGAAGTGAGGATTGCTTCTAGAGAAGAGAGAAGGAGCAGTGATTAGAAGGCAGGACTTCTAGGACACTGGTACTGTTCTGTTCCTTGACCCAGGCAGTGGTGACACAGTTCGGTTCACTTTGTGATAATTCACTGAGCTACACTTTTTTGACCTCAGTAGTTTTCTGTAGGTTATATTTCACTTAAGAATGTTTATTTCAAGGAAATCTTTTAAGTGTCCATTGAACACTTTTAGTTTCCAACTGTGCTTCAGGCTGTCATATTTACTTAGCAATCAATATTAATACCCTCACTTTATAACACTGAACATACCAATTCAATCTCCGCAGTCACCATCATAGAAGATCCAGTTGAAAGCAAAATGCCATTTTTTGTAAATGACAAACTGTCAAGAGATGATTTTTCAGTAGTTTTCTGGAGGTGGTTAACTTTACTAATGACAAACGTTTATGAGTTGATTAGATGAATTTAGTAGTTTACTTTTGGGTAAATTAATTTTTTCTTAAAAGAAACAAGTTGATTATTAATTAGTATATGTAGAAAACTGGATTTACAGGGTGTTTTTCACCTTTAGAATAATCTCTTTAACTTTTGATTCAATCATTAATATTTGTTGAAGAAATGAAAGTACAGTTATGTGCTTTAAAAAATAGTAGTGGCAGAAACTCTACTTAAAATCCTTGAGAATAAAGTAAAGTATAATTTAAATAAGACATTTTCAAACTACCATACAATAAAGGAACAATAATAAAAATGAGTTTTACCCAAACATACCATATATCCTCTGGGGGGAGTCAAACAACTCTAAACATTTATTAATGATGAAGGAATTGTTTAAATTAGAAAAGCAATTTTCATGCCAAAATTTCTTCATGCAAGACTATGAAGTCAGGTCTTCAGCCAGGTGTTTTTTGTTTTCATTTCTAACACTTTCAGAAAACTTTATTTAGGTGTGAAATAAAAATGACTCTCCAAAAAAAGACTAAGATTTGTGGGATGTGACCATACATATTGTTTGGTCTAATTTAACAAATGTTGTAGAAATGGCCAAGTAAAACTTGAAAACATACACCATTACTAAGCCAGCGGACCTGAGGGTTGATGGGACAGACAGCAACAATGAGCATAAACTGTCATTTGATTGCTAAGACTCCTTAGAACTTAAGATAATAGTGCCTCTGAACTGTGGCTCTGTCCTTTGAATTATTAAAATAAAATAAATGAATATATATAGCACATACAGAGTATGGAAGCTTTATCTGAAACTGCACAGATATTCTAAACTAGAATTTAGAGTTGGTTTTTAAGCTTATGCACCCTTTTGCAAGTCTGAAAGACTGAAGTTGGAATCAACCCCACTGAATGCAAGAAAGCCTATATTTGGGGAATAATATGTAGCTCAAACATCTGTAGAATACAGTCTTCTCTTAGAGTCCTTTCTAATAACTGACTTTAGATATGTATATACACACGTTTTTCATGCACCAGAATGTCTTAAATACTTGCCTTCATCTGCTCTATTTATTTCGTGCTCAGGAAGCCTAGAGCTGCTTGGTCTGGAAGGTGAACCCACAGATGGCTGCAATGAAGGAAGTTCATCAACGTCTCTCAAATTAGCAAGCATATCTTGTAGTTTTGACCTATTGGGTCCTACCCCCAAAAAAGGAAGAGAACAAAAAAGAGGAAATAGAATTAACCAACTGCATCAAAATGGTGCCATAAACTTTATTCACAGCTGCCAACATCACCTTTAAAGCTACTCTACTATATTAAAAAGCAATTATTTTCCAAGTTTTCAAATTATTTTTAAAGTTTATTTTTTTAAAAGAATTATGTTTTACATATATTTTAAAAATTAAGTTACTGGAATACATCACCATTCACATAAAAAATAATGCTCATGTGTAATTTCAACCATTAAAAATATTATTCTATAATCCTTTCATATTGCTCTAAATGCAGATACCACAGAGTGTGAAGCTACTGTGTACCAAATTAAACAAGAATGTCCTTTTTGTTTGTTTAAATTAAGTTGCATTCATTGCCTTACATTCTGAAGCTATGGTACCCGAGGTGAAGTCTCATGTCCTACTGATTACTTACCTGAAATTTGATTCTTCATTCTCCCATATCCCTGTTTTGACTGTTTTATATAGGATAGAGGCTGAAACAGATCTTCGGTAGTTTTTCCTGTTATAAGTTTAATTAAGAATGGGAAAATCTTACCCATAGTCCATTATGTTTTTTTTTTTTCCCTATACCAGCAAAGAATACAACTATTTTTAAACAATTTTAACTAATACCTAGAAATATATTTCAAGACAGAATGACTGGAGTACACAATTTGACTGGAAATATTTCTACTAGATCATATTAAAATGACTCAAACTTTTCTAATGACTAAAACAGTTCAATTAATAAAATATTTGATGGCTTATAAATTAATGCTTCATTTATCAATTCAAAGTTTTGCTTCAGTTCTGTTTCTGTAAGTCTTTCAGTTGTTTTTATCGTCTTGTTCCTAGGCTACCACTTATCAAGATAACATGAACTGATAATGAAAACAAAATGTGCTGAAACTCAGTCTACAGTCCCTCTATTTTCAGTAAAGACATTAAAATATCTCTCCCTAGACAGTCATTTTTCTTCGTCACACTAAAAAACTACGTGCTTTATGCCTGAATACTGATCATAATCCCCAGATTCAGTTACTCTAATAGCTTCTATTAGTAGGAATACTGTTCCAGTCAAATGGTGCAGTTTAGACTATAAGTGCTAAATTTTGACTACAGTGATGCTTTGATATTTGACAAGAAGTGAATACCAATATAATGGTAGATGAATTACACCTAAATGCCTTTCCAATCTAAAGACCTTTTACATTTCAAGACATTTATTATTGTAGCATAATGACTTAAACGTCAACTTTAAGTCAATCTAAAAATTAAAATATTCTCCTTGTTTCTCATATATGACATACAAATTTTCCTCAAAATCTCAGTTTAACTGGTTTTGTCATGGTTTTGAAAAGCCATAACAAATCATGTCTCACTATTGTTTAAGATTAAATGTTTTTTCAGTATATTTTGATAAAAGGTACAAAATATTCTTATGTTTTAATATTTATATTGATTTAATTTATATCAAGAAGGCAAATGACATCATCTCTGTTCTGTAATGGTTAGTATAATGATAACATCAATAACAGCCTCTCAGTTTTATCCATTCAAGCTAAATACTTGTAAATTCTAAGATATTTAAAATAAAATATTTAAATGTTTCTCAGTAACTACCAGGTTGTAAAAGAAAATCCTAACAGCAATGACAGGTCTTTGATAAGCCTGAGCATCACTATAAAAAGAAAAAAATAAAAAGTATATCCTTCCAGTCTTTTGCAACTTTTAAATACAAGTTTCACTAAACTGAATTTTAATCTCACTTTACACTACACTTTAATATCCCAAAGGATGAAATTCCTATAAAAGGGAAGGCCCATGTTCATATTGTCAAGGAGGTAGTTTAGTCTTGGTCTCCTAAAAAGATGTTTAAGAAGCTTTTCAAGGATGTTTGAAAATTTTTGTATTTCCATTTTACATGCCTAACTAGGTCTATTGCTAAACTTTATTAATAATTTGCATAATGAATTTTATATATATATGTGTGTGTATATATATATATCTATATATACATACACACACATATATATATATATACACATATATATGAGAGAATGATTCACAGGGCTAGAAATTTCAGTTTAGCTTCTGTTTTTGATGTGGCACACATTTTATGGAAATGAAAACTCTAATTGGTAATATTATAAATGGAACTGACCAAAAGTTTTAAATTAGAAATTAAATACTTTTAGAAATTGACTCTGTGCCCTGTATAGCATATAGTGGTAAGAGTAAATGAACTGTGTGTTATGAATACATAGAATATTCAGGGGTAGAAATTAACTTTCTGTCTCCAATTTATAAAATTATAAGCAATAATTTTCGTGGATTGCCAGAGGGTCATACTAGATGAGATTTAAAATTGTAAACAGTGAAAAATCATTATTGTAATTAAGCACATATATTTTTAAAAAATCAAATTATCACTATGTTTGAATATATAGGCGCATACTCTCATGAGGCTCTGGATTTACTACTGGGATATGTTATGATTCCATAATTGCATGCATAGTTTTAAGTTCATAATTAAATAGCCAACCATTTAATTTCAACCCCTGAGAGCAGGTGAAAAGGAAAGAGGTCAGGAGCAGAAAAGAAAAAGAGTAAGTAGTTTTAGGAAAACATTGAAAAAAAAATTGGGGTATATGAACGAGGCAAGATTTATGAATTACAGATACAATGTTTTCCACTTACTCTTCACCCCCTTTTTCCCCTTTCTCTCCTTTTTGTATTGCTCCTTGAGTTTGGTAATTACTCCCTGGTCCACATTCCAAGCTTCAGGCATGAGACACTGGTCTTCCTTTTCTAAACAGAGTGAAACAAATGAAACAGCCTTTTTCAATAAAATATTGAACACTCTAAGTCAATTCACTGTTATGTTCATGAATGACATAACCATTTTCTCCTTAGTATCACTAATTGTAAAAAGTTATTGTTTATTCATTAAATGTCACACAAAATACAGTATCTAAGAAACAGTGATCAATTCGATTTCCTAGGTAATAACATTAATTTTCTCTTGAAAGAGACACATAAAAAAAATACTCTGGAATATTTGAGTGACTTCTAGTAAATTAAGTGCTAAAACTCTTTAAAAATCAAGAACCCCTTGTTTTCATCCCATTTTCTGAATTGATTATGACTGAATCACACACATAAAAAAAATCCTTACAAATTTATATAATGAAAGATTATTATTAAAAGATTATACAAAATAGTCTTCAATGATCTTTTCATTTCAAAAATTTTATATTTTTTGCATGTGTTCATTAACAAATGATAGTTTTTATTTTACAAGACTTACAAAGAGCACTTATAAACTTATCAATCAACCAGCATTCAAAATTTAAAACCATTTAAGTGATTTGTTAGTTTATAAATTCTTTAAACAGGAAACCAAGCTTCTAGTAGAAAAAAATTCAATCATTAATTTTCATTATTTCAAGAGAAGAATATTTAAAGAATATGTTATATATTTTAAACTTACTATAAAATAACTTACACACTATATAGTGTTATGTGTTAGCTCAGAACTTTCGCTTGAACTCAAGACTCATATATACAACTGCTCCCTCTACATTTCCATTAGGAAGTCTAAATAATATTTCAAACTCAACTTATAAAACCAAATTCCCAATTTCCCTCCCCCAATCTGTTTCCATCCACTAGGTTTCCCATCTTATTTGATGGTAATTCCACACTTCCCTTTGCTCAAACCAAAGACCTCCCTTTCTTTCACATGCAACAACAAATATTTCAAAAAATACTGTTTTCTCTACTGTCAAAACACATCCAGAATCTGACTACTGCTCAGCATATCCACTTCTCTTGCTAGAATTACTGCCTCTTGCTAGAATTACTGCAATAGTTGTCCCATCTCCCCACTAAGTCTATTATCAATACTGGTTGCCCTAGAATCTCAACACGGCAGCTAGAGTAATGCTTTAAAATAAAAGTTAGATCATGTCACTCTTTTGTTCAAATCCCTCCTGTGGTTCCCCATCTCACCAGTGGTCTACATGATTTAGTCACTTCTTACTACATTTCCCTTAGAAGTACTCTGCTTCAGCCACTCTAACTTCCTTGAATCCCTCAAGCATACCAGGGCTACTACTATCTCAGGGTATTTGCTTTAGCTTTCTTCTTGCCAAGCACTCCTTCCCCCAATACCAACCATATGGCTAACTCCCTCATTGACTTCAAGTCTTTTGCTCAAATGTTACCCTCTCAATGGGGCTTACCATGACCACTTTATTTTAAATTGTAACCTGTCCTCTCCACCCCTTCCCATCTCTAGTACTTTCTATCCTCCTTATGCTATTCTGCTTTTTCTATTTCCATGGCATTTATCATCTTCTGACATACTCTATCACTTATTATGTTTATTGCTTCTTGCCTCTACCCTCTTAGTAGGCTGAAGTGACAACAGGGATCTTCATCTAGAACACCTGGCAGATTGAAGGCACTTGATCAGTATTTGCTGTGTGATTGGAATAAACCTAAGTGAACCAGAATAAACAGTAATCTCTTTTTAATAAGTTTAAATCTATAGTTTAAAAAAACTTTATTAGGCCTCTGAATATATCAAACACAATTTAATAAAACTCAATATTTTTATAGACCTAACTATAATCTACCAATAGCAGAAATAGTCTCTTTTTTCTAGAAAGATCTAACAATCAAAACTATTCATTTGCACCAATCAGGTCTTAATTAATTAAACTGAGTGGCTTTTGGATGCTAAGATGCCTTTAGTTTAAAAATAATTTAGCATTATCATAATTTTAACTAGATCCATAATAAAAACAGCAACAGAAAATCGCTGAAGATATTTACTTACGAGATTAAGCTAAGCACATTCACTTTTTTGGGGAGGTCGGGGAGGGACAAGAGAAGCACTTAAAATGAGTTAAATGTCCATTCGACTACACAGGATTTGCAATCTATCTTTATTAAGTGCTTAAAAGTGAAATGCTTTGAATTAGAATTATAAAATCCTTAAGATGCATGATGCATGAAGTCAAACTACTGGTAGAGAAACCTCTATTTGACTGAAAGATTTCACTCACTCATACTCATAAATAAAAATATCCGATACACTACTAAAGAGTGAGATAGCTCAGATGTGGGAACAGTCGTTCATGTTTTCTCCAGTAACTTCATAGCAGGTTAGGTTAAAATGTACACACGTATCATATAATACTCTGGGCCACGACTCACATCTTAAAGCAAAGGAAGTTACACAAGGGACAGTGCAGCTGTCTTTGGAGAAAAATTAATCCCAATTTCCCTTACAATAAGACTGGCAATGAATAGGGCCAAGTGTTATTTATGCAGATGTGCGATGCCTCAAAGAAAGACCTCACTGTAGCACAGTGGATCTACCAATATTGGTAGAATTGTTGCCTAAAATATCTGAATAACTTGATATATAAACTCATTAGGGAATACGACAGAAAATACTCATTTCGCTTTAACTTCTCCTGGTTTCCAAATTTTGTTCTGTTGACAAAAAGTCAGTCACTAAATAGCCATTTATTCTTCAATGACTTCAAGTCATTATTATCCCGAATAATTCTTCAAATATTTCCCACAAAAAAAGGAAAGTGGTATCAGCACCATCAGAATCCCTGAAGGTAAAGCCTTAAGGAAATTGCAAGAAAAAATTAAGATAGTTACTGATTCTCCAAACTTACCTATCTTTAAAATATAGAGACTGTAAGCTAATTGTGTTCTGGAATTCTTTAACCTCAAGAAAAAATTTTCTCATTCCAAAATACCTGTTATTAATTCCTGCTAGATGTTTAAAATATTAAATTCATTTAGAACAATTTACACAAAGAAATTTGATGTCTGATGAAAACTGTGAAACTAACAAAACCTGACTAGCATGAAAAACTACAATTTTTTAATTTATACTTCTTTTTGTACAGAAGATGACAGAAATGAGATGTCTAAAATCCTCTACTGCATTCCCATATTCAAGTTACACAAAATCTAGATTTGTAAGTTCTACTGTCTGGACAGAAAACAGAGAACATTCTATATATGAAGTCAAATTATTTTTATATTGTACTGCTTATATTTTTAAAAAATGAGGTCTAACTAGTTTTACAACCTTCTTTAAACACACACACACACACACACACCCTGGACAAAAGGTGACAGTAGTAAAAAGGTCAGAGAATGTTTAACATTTCAACATTATAAGATATTTAAAAGGTTCTTCAAGGTTGCCCTCCTGATAAAATATTAGTTGCTCTTCATTTACATAATATCTCTGGTTGCATCCAGTATCCTTCCTTACCCCAGTCTGTTCCATCGCCTGCACTTCTAGATTCATTGTCTCCTTCCTCTGATGTACCCAAGAAGTCAAACTCCTTTAGAGCTTCTTTCGTATCTCGATCTTCACTGCTATCGTGCAATGCTTTTTTCCTAACAATCTAATGAAAAAACATGCTAAATTAAAATATATTATGAGATTAACTTAAAGGAGATGGTATCCCTTTACCACTGAATGAGAAAACCGAATTATTGTTTTCTTTAGAAAGTATATCTTGTGTTAAATAACTGTAATTCAAATTCACGGAAAACACAGATGTCATTTTAAAAAAATACACATTATACATTTAAAAGTAGCAATTTAAACTTTGTTCAATGATGGTTGTTTTAAATAAACTAATGGAATCATATATTGAAAATGCTAGAATATAAGACATATACTTAAATTACAGACAGGTGAAAAATGTTCCTAACATACTGTATTATAAGAATCACAACCAAATCTTACATTTTTTTGGATGCAGTTTGTGCAGTGTGCAGACATGCTAATCTAACCAAAGAAAGAGCACTTCATAAAACTCTGCAAGAGTTTTTCAGAATATAACCATGACAAATTTTAAATCTACTACATCATTATTTCCTTACAAAACTTATAATCACAAAAACTACAAATTCAGTAATGCATGTCTTAAGACTTAGAAGGTATTGTTGGGGGATTTCCATTATTATTTCTGTCTCAACCTTGCATCAATTTCTCCAATAACTCTACGTATTCAAATTTTTCCTAAAATACTGGTATTTCAGAGTCAGAATTGACTTAGATTTGAGAGCAAATCTGATAAGGGCTGTTATGTCTCTTTTTTAGATATAAAAGAATAGCTCTGGAATCACAAATTCAATTGGAAGACTAAAACTTAAGCTTAATGAATGCAGAGATAATTTTTGAGATCTAAATGCCAATACTCTTTAGGAATTATCTCCTTTTTTGTCACTTCCACCACTAGACGCCCAAAGAATTTAGAAGAACTGGTTTGTAGCTTCTTTTGATAAAATGGATTCAATATTTCAACATCTCCAGACTTCAGCATGCAAAATCGAAACAGTACGATCTGATGAAACTTCATGCAAAATCGAAACAGTATGATCTGATGAAACTTCATCACTGGACTATTTTGAGTGGCTTAAAATTATAATGGTGCAACATACAGATCAATGGGACAGACTAGAGAGTCTAGAAATAAGACTCTAAGAGGTAACAATTAGCTGACTTGTGTGGCTTTGTTCTCATGCACATAACTGATATCACTTATAAATCACAGCACTTTTCATTTAAGACCAGATACAGCCTCTGAAATCTTTCTCAGTGCAGCACTTCAGGAAGCCATCATGAAGAGAAGAAAGCTGGGACAGTAGATGAAATCTAATATGCCTTAACTAATCGCCATGTTGTACACTTAAAACTAAAACAATATTGCATGCCAACTGTAATGGAAAATTTTTTTAAAAATTTTAAATAAAAACACTAAAATTTTACAAATGCTAATAAAAGCAAAAAAAAAAAGTAAAAGAAAAAATTGAATGGGAGAAATAAAGGGTTCTTTAACGATGCTAGAATAACTGGTTTAACTATTTCCCAATCTAACATCTAGCAAATCTATTAAACAAAAATGCAAGATGAGTTTGACAGACTGTGAACAGGTAGGTGTATTCTTTTAAAAGTATTCACAAATTATATGCTAATAATCTGGTCTAATTTTCCCTGGGCAGCCAGACTAAGGTAGAAAAGTGTCTCTGAAGAATTATACCAACAGAAGCACCTGATCGTCACAGTTCCACATACGAATGCAGTGCCTAATCCATCTTCTTTTACCCTAATCCACCTTCTTTTACCCTCCCTTTGGGGACACCTAATATGATCTGGAGGGATCATCATCAACATCCTGTAGATAAAGAATCCTTAGTCTTCTCTATGGCTGACAAAAAAGTGCAGAGAAAATACAGAACAAGTATCTGGAACCTTACATGATCCAGAACGTAACCCAAAGAACAATCAAATTCCAACAGAGAGCAAAGAGCAAAAAAAGGAGAAGGAACAGGTGGCTTTCGAAGACACTATACTATATCATAGCCTTACATTTCTGTATTTTCTTAGTTGAATCTAGTAAAATATTTTGATTAAAGAAATACATAACATTTAAAAACGCTGTTTGTTCTACTAAACATTTTAATAGGATAATTTTCAGCGATTCTCTATATATAGCACTACAATAAATCTTCTAAGTCATGCTTATTCTCTGCTACATAGAACTAGATTTTTAAAGTCCTTTTGGCATGCAGCTATTAATTGCAGCTGTGAAAATTAATGTAACATAACATAAAAATTCACAAAACTACTACAAAGAAACCAATAATTTTTTCCTAAAAAACTATGAGAATTTTTAAGTCCAATGTTTTAATGGGATTAAGTATTTTTACATTAGCTGTACCTTTACTGCTTGGTCACAGAATTGCTATGATCCACACTAATTGGAAGACAAGATATTTATGAATTTGATTACTTAAAAAGAAACAAGTTTATAGTTAGGAATTTCTAGTGAGACCATACTTAATAGTTACAATAACCATTTTTAAAATATCTGAACTAATACGATGACTAAAAAAGAAACTTACAGCATCATAATTAGTTATTATTTACTATTGAGCTATGAATAAAATATTTTGCCTGGAAAATAACATCTCAATGCAATATCACAAGGCAGCACAAAATTTTCAAACGGTTAGGATAAAGAAAATGCAAGTTCAGGCATTTTCTTTTACTATAGTAAATTAAACAGATGCTATTACTATTTGTTTAGATAATAAAAAAATGGGGGCAACTACTTCAAGTTCAAATAATATCCATGGCAAGGCTGTATCAGCAAAATACAACTGAACAGTAGCCCAGGGAAACAATAATCTGGAAGTAATCATTTGAGAGTCTCTGATGGAAGCATAGCGCATAAAGAACAAAGATGTTATAGAGATATAAGCACTTTATAAAACATATCATTTTCATATATAGTGTCTCATTTATTCCTCACAAAATCCTCTAGGGATAAGATGGGTGTGTATTATAATCTCCATATTATAAACTAAAAAACTAAGCCTGAAGGATTAATAAGCACAAATAATTAGCAACAGAACTAGGACTTAAGCTCAAGGCTTTTGACTTTTGGTCCAGTCTGCTTTATGTTACCTTACTTTCCTCCTCTCTCTTCTTAACTAAAAGTGAAAGAGGAAATGTGAATGTTTTCCTACACAAAGCAAAGCACGCCCTTGTCTCTTAAAAAAAAGTAGAGAAGGGAGGAGGGAAAAAGGGGAGAAGAAAAAAAGAAGAAAAAGGGGGAGAAGGAAAAAAAGAAAGTAGAAGTAGATAGAATGGAGAATGGAAGAGAAAGGAGAAGAAGCAATTTAGAGACATCTGTCATTCCAAGAAAATACCATGGGCAAGTCAATAAACTGATAAAGATCTAAACAAAACTACAGAATAACCCTAAACAAGTTTGAAGAAATGTACTGAGAAAGTTCTGAAAGTCTGTAGAACTTATTTACCAAAGCAACCTTGACAAGAAGAACAAAACTGCATCAACTAAAGTTGATGCCAGTCACCATTTGGCACCATAATGGGTCTGTCAGTTCTATTGTCTTATAGCAACCAATAACACTGCATTGTTATAACACATTTACCATATTCATCAGCTCTATAGAAAGGTTGACATGTTTAATGAATTAACAAGTCAAAGAGCAAGGCCCTTAACAGAGAGCTGCTATACTAAAAACATTCTTGATTTTGAAATCAATACTAAAAACTTTTAGATTAAATTTCCCCAAGTACATTAAAAAAAGAAAGTTAAAGGGTTTAGGTTGAAGAACATGTATTATTTTTAAAGGGTGTATAATGGTCTCTAAAAATATTTATATCTGAGTTACCAAACTCACCGTTGAAGTATCAATGATGCTTTTCTCTCTTCCATCAATGTCATCGTCTTCGTCTTCATCACTGAAATCTGCAGCTGCACTTTCAAGGAATTTGAAATTATCCAGCACAGAGGCAGAATCTGTTAACTCGGATTTTCTGGTTTAAAACATGTACATCTTGCTCAGTTAATTTTTTAAATTCAGCATAAGAATTAATCCATATGTTGCACTAACTTCTGTTTATATTGTAACTATGATTCCCCAAATCATATTATGAACTACACTGATTCTTATCCATACATTTCCATGAATTTTAACTGGAAAAGCAAGATAAGAAGTGGTTATTTTTTAAAGTACTCTGCAATCCTATCTACTTAGATTGATGGTAATCTAACATAAACAATTCCTCTCTTGATTCATTATTACTCTGATCCTAAGTCAACCTTCATATATTTCGTTTTTAAAATTTTTTTTATATCTGCTATTTTCTCTATTCTTTTCTCTATGCAACTCTTCCTCTGACACGTTTCCATAACTCAGAAAATAACTAGTAAATATGTCATTTTTCTCTTACACAATCTTATACTTCTGAATAGCTAAAAAGTTGAAAAAAATGTGCATATAAAGTTACTAAACACAATATATTAGCAAACTAATACTACGAAACCTGATCCTACTGGTGAATAAACCATTAAACTTTTGGAAATGACTGACTTTTCAAATATACAAGATTTGAATTTAGTTTCTTAAACAAAAATTTAGTAAACAATTTTCTAATGGCCAGAACAGGATAATTTCTCACCAGTTCATTAAAAAATGCTTTAGATCTAAGAAGGCATTTTCATGAAAAAATTTAGCCAAACCTACGAACAAAATTTTCAAAACAGATAAATCATAAATTTCAAATCTGCTCAGAGCTATGTTTTTGTTTTTTTTTTTCCCACTCTATTTCCACCCATCTCTATATAAATCAGATTCAGCATAATGCTCCTGTCAGATTCAAAAGACAGGTCAAGGCCAAAACATAAGACAATTGGAGTGGTCTTAAGATCTTTATAAAGATCTCATATTTATAAAAACAATTTAATGTAGTTTTAATTGTTAGCGAATACATTTTAAAAGGCTCCAATTACATCTCATTATAAAAGTCATATTTTTGAACCTCTACCTAAATCTCACAATTTTAGTTTATGTCCCAGAAACTTTGCTGTCACAAGAAAATAGAGTTCAATTTTTCCAGCCTAAACATACATTAAAATAAAGTAAATCATATTTAGACTTTCACAAATTCTATGGCTTTTTATTCAAGAATCCTGACAAATTTTTTTTCAATAAAGAATCTCCTCATTTAACTGTTCATGTTCATTTTAAGCGCAATTACATATTAACTATATCGTATGTGATCCAAAAAGCAAAACAAAATATTTCAAACAGACATTGAATTTTTACATTTATTCTATCAATTAAAATATATATAACTTAAAAATAGATATTTTTCAAAGGAATGATGAGTTATAGCATTATTAAACAGAAGTGGCTAAGAAAAGGTTTACTTCTAAAAAATTTGAGGTATTTCTATGATTTCTGGGTCACCAGGAATAAAAAATCATTCTTACAGATTTGAACTGGATTTCCATAATAAGATCTTTTATGACGTTCTAATAGTAAGTGACTGAACTTTAAGATATTAAAATCTATATTAAATCCATAAATTTCAGGCAAATATTTTCAATAAAAATATTCTTAAAATAATCTTAAAGGGTAACTCTAATCCCTCTGTTATCTTCTACAAATAAATTTTAAATTTCTATTAAACTTTATTATAATTTGGTAGCAGTATCAAAAAGTGTAAGTATCACCCACAAACCAAAAATATTTAATAAGAACTAAAGCTATAGCTAAATCACTTTCCAGACAAAATACTTACCCAATCATTGCTGTGTCTTTAACTTCACCCTCTGTGCCATTTATAACTGAGTCTTGATTTTTGTCATCTTCTCTGTCAGTGACATCACTTGAAAAGCCCAACAAAGCTCGCACTCGTTTAGATTTCACATCTAGAATAGTATCTGTGTAACCCACCTCCTGCAGATACCTGTGTAGGAAGAGGATGCTTACAATTCAGTCATTTTGGAATAAGTATTCTATACCATAATATGTAAATAAAAATATTTCTTTAAATTAATTGCCTGTATAAGACTTAACAGTATGGTATTATTCTAGTATGACTCGCTAATAAATGAACTTCCAGCTGCAGATGGAGCTGTCTCCTGCAGTACCAGCCTCTACGGTCACTGAGAAAAATCAAAAAACTATACAATACACCATTCATTATACTTATCATAAGAAAAAGCTGTTTCTTAATATACCTAATAGCACATTTTTTTCTTCTAGGCAGAGTTGGAGTAAATTCACTCTCATTTCTACTAAACTACTTTTTTTAATAGTAATTATTATAACCACATTTCCGATGTAAAGTGTCATGGGATCAACTGTATAAATCCAGAAATGTTTCTTGTATGTATGGTTTCCTCCATGACATAAAAGAAGATAGTATATTCCAAAGAGTCACTTCTGCAGAGGGAAGCTTCTATCCTGAGAAACTAAAAAACATAAAATAAAATCAACCACGATTCAATTGTAGGATGTGGGATGCTTGGGTACATGGGAGTGTGTGTGTTGCAGAGAGGCAGCAGCAAAGAAAAAAGAGAATACACTTTGTACTGACGGTTAGAACTGGGTCTAATGTCCATTTCTGCCACTTTCTCCCTGTGTTAATTCTCCTGACCCTCAGTTTTATTTCCCCTAAAAGAGACATACAATACAGAAGGCACTCAATATCTATTAACAACAGAGAAGACCAAAAAGATCAAAAGTAGAAGGGGCAGGAACACGGAAAAGGCAAATGTCATTAATATCATCATTAATAAACATGACAGACAAATGTTAGGCATTAACTTATAAGTAAGCATCAAGTCTATGAGATGAAAGAGAAGACAAAGGTGGACAAGATAACCAGTCTAAGGTCAGTTTATTTCAAGACTAGTATTAATAGTTATTATAGCTCAAAGAGATATCTCACAAAAATATGTGACCAAAGTCGAATAGTGCATCCTATCAAGATACTCATTTTTCAATTCTATCCAATATTTATAGAAAGGTTTTGATTACAATGTAGATAATAAATTTCTAACTTCCTTAAATTTAATCAGTTGTTCTTGCAAACTAATACAAAGGTATTATGTTTTTCCATTTTTAACAAGTAATATTTGATATATACTTTGCTCTGGCAACAAAATCACATTACGAACAACTGTTTCAAAAACTGCACTTTCCATACATAAGTTGTTGCTTCCCCATTTATCGACAAAAGCCATCATAAAAGGGTACTTTGAGGAGAAGACTGAGTTTTTTACAGTTTTTGAAAATATCTCTTAAATTGCTCACCATAAAAATTTCTCATTAAAAAAAGGATCAGTACTTTAAAAATACTTATTTATTTATAAAAGAAAAATGCCTAAATCATATGTAAGACCAAAATGAGAGCAGTAGTGAAAATCCACTTACTAAATATTAGTAAACTCTCATTTTCTTCCAACTTCGAGCAGATAAAAAATAGATATGAGGAGACATTTTAATATTCTCTTCCATTAATTAAAGGAATGGCTGGCATGCATCCACTTTGGAAATCATAGATTTAGACTACTCACATGCGACCTCAAAGTCCAAATCTTTTTACTGAGGCACAAATCTGAACACCAGTTTCAAACCTGACACGCAAGGACCAGGCACTGAGCTGATGAGTGAGTCTAGTCTATCATCTGACATCTGAACCTCAACTCAACTTTGTTTCCTCTTTATAGTCTCAAATACACATTTTATAGAAGAAAGTATACGTTAGTGTAATATTTGCAAATCTGAGAAATTCAAGAAGTTCTTCAATTTAAAATAGAAAGTTTAAAAACATACAAAAATTACATATAACTACTGACTAGACATATTAAAACATGTATATTCATGTGTAAAAGATGCAAAAAAAAGAGTAATTTAAGACTGTACAATTCTTTAAACTATAAATTTAAGTGTATAATAAAATTTAGAAGCTTAAAATTGTACTCTTTTTGATGAAGTTATTATTATGGGAAGAATTTACTCTTGATAATTCTTATTAACATTTAATAAAAAATTCTATCACAGGAGAAAAGTATTTAATATGAAAAAAGAACAGTAATTCAATTAAGCTTTTTCACAGGAGCAGTAAAATAACATAAGAGATGTAATTATTCTATTGAGTTGAAAATATAAAACAAAAATAATATAATGAAAATATATGTTTCTCCTCAGTTTAACAATGGGTTACTTACTGTCTGAGTAGCTGTCGACCTTGTTTCCACATTAACTGACTATTTTGTTGTGGCTGCACCTCTGTTTCATTACCTTCATCTAGAAAACATTAAAACATAACAAAACTGACTTGTTATATACATTAGATGGCATCTTGATTCATAAGAAATGTCCAAGAAAAATTTGTAAGATTATATAAAACCACTCTGTAAGGTATGTTTTAGGAAAATGTAAATTCTGTTTTTAAGTGAAATTCTGTGATAAACTCTAAATTCATTACTGCTACTGGATTCCCCTCAAAGTTGTAAAACTAAAATAAAGACATTTTCTGAATCTTTAAGCGGCCTGAGAATTTTCTGTCAGGACAAAGACCTACTGAAATCAAGTCACAGAATGACAGTCAAATAAAAGTATTATGAAGCACAACATCAGAATTAGAACAAAATACTTAGAAGTATGATGGTTAAAAAAAGCTAGTTTGATTAAAGAGTAAATCTATAAGAAATAATCTCAGTCCAAATCTATTTCCTTTACTAGTTATTAAATAAAAATTTTGAGAATTCTTTTTAAGACATTTTTTGAATGAAAATTTCCTGGTCTTGTAATGGTTTAAATTCACCATTTGGTAAATCTTTTCAAAAAGGTGGTAAAATAAAAAGAACCTTCTCAGTCTGGATTAAAAATTTTTTCAAACTACACTTATGGCTCTACTTTAAAAATACAAAAAAGTTCACACTTTCCATCAGCCCTTGATTAAACTATAAGAAAATGTGGTCTTTATAGAGTTTGATTCAAGTGGAGATACAAGAAAGACTGGGAATATTTGTTTTATGATTATTTGCTATTACATATTTACTGTGTTTCAGATGCTGTGTTAAAAACATATACATTACCCCTTTACAAAGTCAAAAGGTGACTTTTACTATCTTCATTTTAAAGATGAGAAATAGGAGCTTTACAGGTTAATTTTAAGGTCTAAGTTAGAAATAGTTACAAGTGTTGAAGTCCTATGTGACTCCAGAGCTCACGTATTTTCCTCCACATGCTATCGCTACAATGATGAGAAATTAGAGAAATACATAAACAAAAGTGAGAATTAAACTTTGCTTTTTCTTTCATTTTTCTCCTAAAATAACTAGGCCAAGATCTGTGATATACCAAAGAAACAGCAGTAGAGTATATGGGGGCTGGGAAGAGAGATAAGAGGATTAGGTTAACTCAAGAAGGAAAATTACTTTGGGATGACTTCAGAGGGTATACTTTTTTTTTTTTCCTTTTTTGTAAAAGCAAAAACAAAGGTCCCAATACTAAGGAAAAAATAATACATCTTGTTTCCATTGACCCACAAATTTAGGAACTGTATATGTAACATAGTATGTTCCAATATATCCCCTTCTTACATCAAGTGAGTAACTTGTACTTGCCAAGTTAAGAACATTTACACGGACATTTCAAAAAACTAAAAATTCCAGGTGTGAAAAAACTTTTTTCTTTTAACCAGCAAAAATGGGTTTATTTGGAAACAGCAAAGAATTGCAAGTCAAGATAGGTAAGCTATAGCAAAGGCCATAGGCCAGTCCAACAAAGGAAAGGAATGTTTTTTTACAGAGAAGGAGGAGAAAGTTGGGAAGGGTTGTTTTTTGTTGTTATTGTGGTTTCCGTTTGTAGTACATTGGTTAGACATTTATATAGTTTAGGATACGATCTCCTTGATTGCTCTTTCTCTCCTCTGGCTCTACACATAGCCATTATATTACAGTGGACTGCATTTCCTATGCCATGCTCCCTGTCCCCGTGACCACCTATCAACTACTAATTTGTACTTCTTTAACCCTACACCACTTTCTCCCCATGAAAAAACTTCTGAAGTCATCTAATTTCCCATCAGAATAGGACTAAATCCTTTCTATATCATCCTCAACTGCCCTTGCCTACTTTGACAGCTAGTAATGTTGCCAAAGTGTGTTATAAGGAATGAACTATTGATACACACCAACATGTATGAATTTCAAATGCATTATGCCAAGTGAAAGAAGCTAGAAGCAAAAGCCTACATTCTTTCTATATGATTCTGGAATCTATATGACTTTCTAGAAAAGGTAAAACTATAGAAATAGAAAACAGATTAGTGGTTGCCAGTGGATTAGAGAAGGAGGGGTTGACTACAAAGGGTCGTAGTAACAGATTGTATATGTTTGTAAAAACAATAAAAATACAATAAAAAAACAATAAAAAGGTGAATTTACTGTATGTAATTTATACCTTAATAAAAGACAAATTAAGCCAAATCAAGTAAAAATGCATCCTCAAGCTCTTTTAAAAAGTGCACTTTTTTAAAAATTAGTTTCAAGTGTACAGTACATTGGTTAGATTGACATTTATATAGTTTATGAAACAATCCCCCTGATGTGTATTCTTATATTGAGATAAAAATCTGACTCCTGGGTAACATTTGACATTTACAAAAAAAGAAAAAGTCTAAGGTTTAAAGAAAAAAAGAAAAAAAAAACTCTTGTGCATGTGAACTTGATTTCCCCACACTTCCTTATCTAGGCTAACCTCACAGTTCTCTCAATAGGCTCTCAAAGGTTAGTAAGTAGTCATCAACTATCAAATTCATTCTTACCTTATAAAGTTCAAAAAGTGATATTATATAAAAGTGAGGATTTTAAAGTGGGTAAGAGTTTATGTCTTGGTAATATTGAAAGTATTTGACTGGCACATCAAGTCAAGTTGGAGTAACAGGGACCCAATTTACTCCCCTGTTTGAAACAACTATAAAACAAAATAGATGAAACAATGGTTAAGGTACTGGACATCACGCAGCAAAGGACATGATCCCTGAGAGAAGGGAAGCAAACAGGTGAGCCCTATAATTATTCCAGCTTACTGCCTTGATGGAATTTCCAGATCATAGCACAGGCAGGAGGAATAAAACAATATCTGAAGAAACAATGGCTGAAAAATAACAAATTCCATAAAAACTAGAAATCCATAGATCTAAGAAACTCAACAAATCCCCAGCACAAGAAACAATGGGGTGAAGCACCAAAGCATATCATAATAAAATTGTTTAAAATCAGTGCTAAAGATAAAAATCTTAAAAGTAGACAGAGAAAAAGGTCATATTCTATGCAAAAGAACTACAATAAGGATGACAGAAGATATATCAGCAGAAACAATGCAAGCGAGCAAAATAAAGACCTGTTTAAGATACATAAAAGTTGAAAGAATTCATTATTAGCAGCCCATATTACAAGGTAACATTAAAGAAAGTCTCTAATAAGGTAGAAGAAAAATGATACCACAAAATATGGATCCACACAAAGAAATGATGAGCACAGGAAATATATATTTTTTATAGTATTCAAATCTCTTTAAAAGAGAATTGACTGTTGAAACAAAAAAAAAAATAATGTGGTGTGTGTTTTATTACATAGAAGTAAAATAAATGAAAACAACTGCACAAAGACAGAGAGGACAGATGGAAGTATACCATTTTAAGTGTCTCATGCTACACAGGAGTGGAATATTACCACTTAAAGACAGATGGTAATAAGTTATAAACCCTAAAGCAATCACTAAAATACAAGAGTTATAGCTAATAAGTCAGGAAAAGAGATAAAATGAAATCATAAAAAACACCACATTAATTCAAAAGAAATCTGAAAACGAAGAAAAGGAAGCAAAGAACAGATTGAACAAACAGCAAGGTGGTACCTTTAGAGCTAACCATATTAATAGTCACATTAAATGTAAATGGTCTAAACATCTCAATTAAAAGGCAGAATTTGTCACTTTGGAGAAAAAAATTCCATTTTTAATAATATATCTGGCTTCTAACATTAAATAGGAGAAACTGAAATATGGAAGATAAATAGATTTTACCATAACCTGAGGTAATATTCTCCTAAAGTAGAAACGTGAAGGTTTGGAAGTGCAACAAAACAGAAAAAAAAAGTCAGAAGGGAAACTAATTTTTTGTGAAAAATGTTTCAGAAAATGTCTAGATTGTCAGTTTTAGGAAAACACAGTAAATGGCTAAACGAAGAATGGAACAGTCCCTGCTTCGTTAGGGTTTACCCTGTTTGGATACACCACCTTCTACCCTCTCCAGTGCTGTCCTTATCACTGTCACCTGTAAATCCCTTGACAGTGCTCCAAACAAGGTGATCACCCAGGCCAGCCCCACTTCAGCCTCTCCACGACTACCACCCTTTCTAGCTGTCATACCCTACATGTTGTCATCATGAAGAAATGCCACAGCACAAACTCACTCTCTGAGTATACCCTTTGGGTTCAGTACTTCCAATTCACTACATCTTTGATTTAGCTAAGACTTTAGACCAAGGGCCAACAATTTACAGCGTACAAGTCAAACCTGGCCTGCCACCCTTATTCATTATTGTGGCTGCTTTTATGTTACGACAGCAGAGTTGAGTAGCTGCACCAGCAAACGTATGGCCTACAAACATTACTATCAGGCCCCGGAAAAAATCTGCTGACCCATTTAGCCTCTTTTTGTCTTCACTTCCTTCCTTCTGTAGTTTTAGTTCAGTCTATCACTTCAACCATTCTTTCGCCAATGTACTCAATTTTTCTTATTCCCCTGTCTCTCCACGAATTCAGTGAATTTAATTATTTTTATCCTTTTTAACTTTTACCTCGGCTGCCAAATGTGCAGACGAGTGCTTCCATATAAACTCATGATCACACACCTCGACTAGACCCTTAGCTTTTCTCAATCCTACTATTTCTTAGACAGTTTTTCCCTCTGTTCATTACTATTTTAAATCTCTACTTTTCTGAAACCTCTGACATACTCTTAGCAGATAATTGTCTCATACATAAAGCTATATTAAATACCTCTACCAAACTGAAAACCAAACCTACAAATCCATCACCTAACTTTCTACATTCTTTCTCTTGATGAAAAAAAAAGACATGCTGCTCTTCCTGCCATTCTCCAGCTGTGTTCAGAATCCAATCCCTATCACTTATTCAGATACCTTCCTTTTTCGAATATCTCTACACTCTCCCTTTTATTTGTTCTTCTTTTAAAAAATATTACGCACTTCTTTGACCCCACATTTCCATTC